TCTAGAGCAACATTAGCACGAAAAGTACAGTGCTAAACAATAACAAGAATAGTAATACAAGAATTATTCTAGAATGGGTAACATTTCAAGGGTAAATGCTAGTGAAAATTGGGCAAGGGGTAGTGATAATCTTGGGCAAAAATCAAGTGTAACAATATATAGAATTTTATATATTTGTCTTTTGTAGATATTGAACTAGAGATACTATATATTATTAATCTACAAGTATTTTAAAAATTAAATTATATAAAATAATAATTATAATATTATATAATAAAAGAATTTCAAACTAATATTTAAATTAATATTTATTAACTTTATTTGTCATATATTATATTATTTTAAAAAGAAAATATATTAAATTTTAATTATAACTTAAAGATTAACTTGTATAATATTTTTATATAATTAAAAATTTAATCCTAATTTAAAAAAATTTTTAATTATCTTTTTTGAATAAAATTTGAAATACAAATATATAAATTATTTATTAAATCATGTATTAAGATTTTTTTAATAAAAAAAAATAGATATTATTTTAATAAAATTATAATGAAATTCAAAAACTAGAATAATTATTTTATTTAATTATAAAAATATTTATAAAGAAAAAATAATATAATAATGATTAAAAATTTTTTTAATTAAATAATAATAAACATAATATTGTTAACAAGAAAATTATAGTTATTGATAATAATAATAAATTTTATTTAAACTATTATATGTAATTTAATAATAATGAAAAATATTATATATTTATTATAAAGATGAAAATAATTTTTACTTGATCAAATAAAAAACCAAAGTTAAAATCATGATGGTTTCTTTAAATAATATTAAATAACAATATTAAATTTATCATATTTTTTTTTGTTTATTAATAAGAGATATACTGTAACTTGTGATCTATTTCAAAATCCAATTAAAAATATATCATATATAGATAACAAATTCATAGACTTTACAGATACTTTAAAAAACAAAAAAAAACCAGTATTTTAAATTCCCTATCTTTAATAAAAGAATAATTTAATCAAGATAAATAAATTCACTGCTATTCTGTATAATAGAAATACAATGTGATCTTAAACTGATAACGATTACGAACAACAGCAACAACAAGAATGAAAAATGCTTATTAATCAAAAGGAGATATGGATCATACTTTATTTAAATGATGGAAAATTAATAATTGCAAGTGACACATGTTTTTAGAGTGTCGCTTCAAATTGGAAATTCATAAAAAGGCTTTCAAGTGTTCCGCCGATTGAGTCCGTCTCCAAAATTGAATTAATCACAAATTGCAAATAATGAAATGATGCCCGAGTTCCTTTGGGTTTACATTAAGAATCTATAGATGGTGGTGCGTATATTTAATATCTACATGTGATTGCCTTTTTCGGGTTAGGGAAAATGTCATAATTCAAATTTTATTCATTTATATTAAAAAATTCTTATTTGTGAAAAAGAGATTCATAAAGATTCGATAAATCCCAAAAAAAATAAATGAAAAAAAGAAAACTCGTGTCTGAAATATCGTCATTGGTATTTACATAAAAATGCGATTAGCCTCTTTCTATGGTCATATCCTCTTTATAATGGTAATACGTAAATAATCATTTTTATGGTCAAATTTCCTGTCGTAGAAATTTTTTCACAAGATCCCAAAGTGCGTGGCTACAGTGCGAGTTGATTGTAAATATAATGTACGTCCTCAAATGATGTTTGATATTGTGAATTGAAGGCGTTATTACACATAACTAGGGTTGACTTGCAAGCACGTTTATTCATATTATTACAAATACCCGAATTTTAGTGCTATCGCAAATTAAAACCATTCTATTTTTATCCATCCTAACCATACGCACATCGATGTAAAAAATGCGTTAGCTTGTCACCCTACTTTGATTAGCAAAGACCGGGCGTTATTCGTGAAAAATCGTTTCCCAACGCAAAACTTGGTAAAGCCCTCACGGATAACTGATGGCATCTTAATCATTTTAATCGATCGTGCCAACATATTATTTTCGTTATATGCACGTGACGTCTGGGATAATTATCGAAATTTGTGCAATACCAGTGTAGAAACGGCGCACGCAGTAAGATTGGGGGACGCGACATAGTGTTTCCACCTTCGTTTCTATCTTCTTTCTGTTCTTTCTCTCGTTTGTTCATTGTTCGTTCGGCATTATTTGATCACACGAGGAACAACAGAAACACCGGAACAACAGAATATAAAGATCTCTCACCATCTCTTTTACGGTTTCTTTCTTATTTCCCGTTAAAAGTCTCCATAAATTACTGTTTATAATGTGAAACAAATAATAAATCTTTTGGAATGCACCACTTTCTGCGAAAATAGATCCAGACCAAAATTAAAATGAATATGGATAATTTTAATGTCTTATCACGAAAGAAATTGAAATTGGCAAGGATTGGCGCATGATAATTCAATGCATCCTTACAGTTTAATGAGCTTTCGGAGGTTAGATTAAGTTTATGTACGGGACCTCTAAAAATGTTAGATCATGACCATATAAAATCTTTAATGTAAAAACAGGTTTGTACATGATTTGTTCGATTGACATTTTTCACACACTGAGTTGGCACCGAGTCAAGTGTGATGATTCGGATCACTCGAGGGAAATGAAGATCTTGACAAAAATAAGAGTTCTGAAATCCCGGTGTTCTTCGACCGCAAAAAGGCTAGACATGCTCAACCTTTGGATCTTATCACGGAAATTGACTTGTCACCTTCGAGATCCTTCCTGACCGACTCGGAACCGTCTCAGATTCGAGAAAGAATGTCGAGGGTCAAGTGAAAAAAGGACCAAAGGAGTTTAGTGTTCATGGAGTCATTGTGTGTGAAGGGAATTGTCACAAGACATCAATAGTGCTCGCCATTCCACTTTCAACATTTCGTGTGCTATTATCTATGATTCGTACTAAATGCATTCAAAATTCACTTTCATAAAAAAGTGTGCACGGTAGGTTGCATGGTTTCTTTCAAATTTGGAGATTCAAGATAACGGGCATCATCTTATTGTTTTACATGTTGAAATGGCACTAGATAAGTAGATCGACCAACAAAGGGTTAAAATGAGAGACAACAAAGCTAAATGGAATCAAATTCCACCAAAGCAGAAGTCAAAGCGAATTCCCAAGAAATAATAGTAAAGGATTCGCCTTGTTTCAACAAGGTATCTTGCTTAATAAAGGAAGAGTACAAACTGAATGAGGATCCAAAAGATGAAATGTTGAGTACGAGTTGTCCAGGTGGCACAGTGAAACCAGCGCACATTAGGAAAGCAATAACCGAATTCCTTGTGATCACGTAAACCCTTTATCGTAAGTGCTGGTGGCAGGGAGCCAATGTGAGGAGGGGGTCGTGACCCGGTCTCTCCACGAGCACCAATGCGTAATGAGACCGTGATTGTCAAACGTTGGATGCAACATGCACCGTCTTTGACATACGCAAAACCAGGGTGAGAAGTCCACAAATGGACACAAAAAAAGTACCAAGAGAGACATCACCATCAGTGGGTGTGGGCATCGATTATTGAGCTTTCCCGCAAATCTCCAGCTGATGAATGGAACTTCCGAGGTGAAAGATAACTTAGTAATAGAGATTCGAGGGGGAAGAAATGCATTAGTAATCGACGAAGGGGTATTTCCTCAAATATTGCTTGCTAACTACCTATGTACGCATTAGCTTTATCTACAGCCCACCAGGATCAAGATCAGGGAGGTTATGACTTTATTTGGGTTAGTGTCAAATCATTTTATGGATTAACGTTTCGAGATCAAAAGAGTTGACATAAATGGATGACGCCCTCATAGCACAATCGAAAATCTTCATTTTTCCGTCTTATTCAGCTTCACACGGGTGAGGTGATAATGCAATTAAAGCAAGCGGGTGATTATGCAATTGGTGATATCGATGATTTGAGGTAACGTACCGAAAATTACGTATGTACGAGTGCAGTCATGCATTCATTCATTATTAAACATTACTTTAATTGGTAAAACGAACGAAGCTTTTCGGTGTCAACGGGCATAAATTCTTGAGATAAGTAGAAGAAAAAAAAATAATAATAAGATAATTCGTGGAAAGGTTTGCCATTTGACGCTCTCGTGCATCGATGCCAAGCATTCCCCCATCGTCACCGATGGTTTCAAACTTCTTGTCAAAGATAAGATGTTTCAGTTGTTGTGACGGGTTAGCGCCGTCAGGTAGTCCCGAGCGAACCGGGAGAACAGGAGGAACGCAATTCCCGGGGTCAATCAAGCTGAGATTATTCACGCGCCCACGTCCGAAACCAGAAGTTCTCGGGTTCTCCGTGATGCCTTTGCGAGGGACCACGGGTTTCCCTCGATTCACCTGATTCACCTCACGAAAAAGACACGTTTTTTTGCACAAAGCAAAAGGCGATGCAAAGTTCGACGAGCGTTCCACCCAGTATGACACAATTTAAAATTTTGATTTGGCCGCATGCTTGACCACCTAAGGTTAGTGAGGTGAGGGCGTTCGAAGGTTTGCAAGTAAGATACTTGCGTGGCGATGTGCTCACCTAATAAATCCAGTTACATCGGATTCCATCTCTCAGATCACATCCCGTCACACGGCCGCATTGGAATATTACAGCCACCCGAAAACCGCAAGCATACCGGTCGCGTGCTTTGAGCCGCTCTCTCTCTTTACAGACGAACAATATAGTGAAAGCCACACGAAAATGAAAAACCAATCGATCAATCTGAGATTCATCGCGCGCAAGCATCTCGCCATCTGGATTTATTTCATCATTCCTTTTGTATTTTTTTTTTTTTTTTTATATATATAATTGATCGCAATAATAAATAACCAGTTCAACCAGTTCCGAGGCATTCACACATAACACCACGAATAGATTTGATATCACGTATGCATGGATGAGGTCATTTCTGTGGCTAACCGCAACATCCAATTCGGATAAGCGTTATTCCGAATAACTGGTACGTGTGTCCGATGTTTTGAAATCCTTCAGGGTAAATGGGGAGGCGATCGAAAGAGGGTTAACAACATGGATGGAGTACGTCCCGCTTTCGGTTCACCATAAGCCTCGTTGCTGAGGGAGATGATGCTGGTAGGAAATCTCTAATAATTTCATTAATCTATCTTTTTGATTTTGCATAAGGATTCGGCTGTACGTTTGCCATAATCATGAGAGGGCAGTGCATATTCAAGGGTGTGTTGACCTGTGCATCGTAAACAGATGACCGAATAAGGTATATTATATAATATTGATTTGGTGAGCGTAGTGCGATTTACGTAATCTCGACAAATAAAGAAAGTCACTATCCCCCTTCATTAATTTACGAAACCCAACCCGACTTTCATTGTCTGGAATCATGCAGAGTATCCTGATTTTAGCTGCACACAGAAAATGTTAACGTTTAATACGTGCATAGGAAAATGCACAATTTAACCATGACATCTTCGCCTATTCTCCATTCCTTATTTGATTTCACCAATCTCTTGCGACTCAGCCACCCGATTACACAGCATCGGCAAGAGGTTAAATGCAGCAAGAATGAAAAGCAATTAAGGATGGGGGTGAAAGCAAATACTCTCTTTGAAACTTGAAATACTTTTTGCACACACAAACACACAACAATAGTACACCGGACCCTTTTGTCCTCAAAAAAAGATTTCTGAATGAATCGTCCCACGTAAAGAAAGTCTCCTTTTGTAAAAGTAAAACGTGGTGGTTTTTTGGTCACGTGAAATCCAGAAAAGTGAGGTAAATCTGCAGCATCGGATAGGGATCGTTCTTTCTTTTTTCTAAAGAGGTGCCTGTTGGAGAATCATCTCACGTTTAAACAATTATTTGTTAATCGACATGTAAACAAACCTGAAAATCGAGGCGAAGAACGTCAAAGATGAGCGGAAAATGAGCGGGGGGAACGGCAAGAGGCATTGAACATGGATAATAATAACATCAACATGCATCCGAAAAAATCTTTGGACTTTTTGATTTTCCTTTGCAAACAAACCATCTTTTCCTAATCCAAATAAAATAAACAAATGTGCAATCAATGCCCAGTATCAAAATTTGATCTTCGCGAAAAATTTCGCTTTCGGGCTAAGGAAATACGATGGACAAATTTGCAAGTGAGGAGGTTTAAAATTTTACTTTATGCCACTTGCGTATCACACTTTCACCGCCTTTCATTATTTGCACATGTCATTGGTTCTCTTTCGTCGGGTTGCATGATCAATACGTGATCTCAAATTTTTCCTAAATTGGGTTTAATTTACCGAATTTTTTATTTTTTATTTTTTTTTTTTAAAAAAAAAAAAAAAAAAGTAGATGAGATTGTGTCTCATGGAAAGCGTGTCCATGAATCTTGCGTAAGACTGAAGGTGCACGCACACGGGGTGACGATTCCAGGCGACTGCTAAAGAAGATGTTCACCAATATGTACTCTACCATATGGATCATGTTCAATGTTATCAACGGAATCGAAAAAAAAAAAAGAAGAAAAATGCACGACGGAACGAAATTGGTTAGTGGCAAGCGGGAACGTAGGTAGAATGAGAGGTATGAATAAAAAAGGTATCGTGACGATGACTTCCAAATTCTGATGGTCATCTTCTTTGTGCATGTCGGCAATTTCCCTGCATTCGAATGGCGAAAATTAGATCCGTCGGTGAGCAATCGGGAAATTTTATCATCAAATCTTACACCGCCTGATCACGTCCATGTAACGTTCGACGAACGGTTTGTCCACGCACTCGCTCTACCGTCATCCCCGTGGACTTTAACCTATTTCATGTGCGATCAGTCCAATTGGTACTTACCTCAAGAACAATGAAATTCGAACCTTTTTTTTTCAATGATAATTCATCCTACATTTGGAAAATCTGGAAAATTCAAATATCTATGAAAACGCACGTATCATATACGAGATGCATGAATTACGCGTAATTTGAGAAGCCCAATTTTAATGATCATAGAACCTGAATGACTTCGAGTTTTCCCGTGAAAGTACGACACACAGTACTTATAGCGAGAAGTGTGGTTCATCTTGTTCAAGAACGTGTTCATCCTCTGTCAGAAAAAAAAAAAAAAAAAGATACAGTAGATGCGCACGGTATCTTTCAGTATGTCACGGGATCGCACAGTTTTCGACTGTATTAATAAAATTTCTTTGGATTTCCCCCCCTGGAACACACTGGTCACCTCATTTCGCCTAACGGGTTAGCGCGCGTTCACGGAATCAAATTCTCTCGTCATCTTTCCGATCACAAATAATTGTGCAATGATAGATAGATTTAAAATATGCAATTACATATGTGAATTTAACATGTACGCGTACACCAGATGTTATCCTGTCCGTGCCCTCTTTCTTCACAAGGAATCCTAATTCGGATAAATTTCTCCCCGTTTTAATTCAATTCTTCCACCGATTACATAATGCTCATTCTATCTTACGAGCACGGCATCTATTATTATTATCATTATTCAATCACCCTTTTTCAGGCCCTTTTTTTTTTTTTTTACTCTTTCCAAACAATGATGAGAAAAAAATTGCTTGCATCGCACAGAATCTAGCATATATTCGTTCATCTTTGGGCACCATATGACATATAGATAAGCAGATGGAAGTCGAAAAACAAGTGATTCAAGAAGAAATGTTCCAAGGATCTGAGGTAATTCCACGTACATGTCTGGCGGTGTGCGACACAAAAATCTCGACTCTTACATCATTCATTCATTCTCGTAGCATATGCGTGCACGTTGAACCTGCGAATATGGATTTTTGGGGATGTGTGAGGACTAGCGTGAAAAAGGATTTATTTTCCGGTGTCATCAATGACCTGTGTGCATGCGTGTGTGCACCATCCTCTTTTCGTTGAATCGATGGAGTTTCGCCAACTGACGGGAGATGATAACGGCGGACGACGGTCGGCCTACGCGAATTTCATCTGCGCACGCACACTATTTGCACCTTTGATTCGCGTAAAAATATGATTACGTGTGCGGAGAAGATTCGAAGATTCCATTTTCTGTGAATCAATAACAACAATCCATATGAAGTTAATTAGGTTGGAATGTTTGGGTGGCGACATTGGTTTGTGTCATCGATAAGCCCTGCACAATGCATGTCGCAAAATTTGAAAAATGACGTCGGGCAACGTTTGTTTTATTTCCTGGAGAAAATATTCTTTTAAAAGGTCAGGCAATCTCTAAAAATAGCGATGCAGCCATTTCGCCAAATCGAGTTCAAATCCACGCAACTCTTTTTTTGACAAAAAGAAAAGAAAAAAAAGACTCGCCAGATCCACTAAAAATTATGATGATAGATATCGACATATGGTACGTTTTTAACATGGTTGAAGCGTTGATTATATGAATTCTTGCTTTTAATTAAAGTTTTTCTTGCATAAAATCAAGGAGTGCACGCATACCTGTATCAAGTAAATAAAGTAAAATAAGGCATGTTTATTATTACCACCATTATTATTTATTATTATTATTATTATTATTATTATTATTATATAATAAATACTATTATTTTATTAATATTTTTTTTACTATATTACTATTATTATCATTATTATTATTTATTATTATTATTATTATTATTATTATGTCTTTGTGACTAGAAGGAATTATTCAGAATTACTTATTATTATATTGTTACATATCGGATTTTCCGTAATTACACACGTGACAACATTTTTTTTTATCTATCAAATCGGTATCGTGTGTGTGTGTGTGTGTGTGCAACAAAGAATCACTGGACTTTAAAAGGAATAACAGAATGACCGAGATGTTTTTCGTTATTGTTATTATTATTCCACGTCTCGTACGTTTCACATGTTCTCATTGTCTCTGCTTGCTTCGTGAATCATCAAAAATTTGAATTGATTCCGTGAACATCACACATCTGCGTGTCGATGTCGATGGTGTTGATTCCAGGAAACTTTGTCACATAATCAGTTGATCCTGCGAGCTGTCTCATCACACGCTGATCGAAGGCGAAGACACGTCATATGACGTCTTGGATCCGAAAAATTGAATTGTGAAATTGGACTATCGATCATTCGCGCAGATGGCACGCTTTTTTAGAAATTCGGGAGTTTTTTTTTTTTTTCAAGTAATAATTGTATTAATAATGACAATAATCAAGAATGTCCAATGTTACTCACATTACCAGAGTGATTTATAAACAATATGCCGAATTACAATGAGCGCACACAATTTCATACATGCGTGAGTATAGTGCGTAGGACACACTAGTCGAGGTCGTACGTTCGTTCGTTCGTTCGTTCATAACGCCCGTGATTCACTCGCACTCGCTCGACGATTGTGACCCTGAAAATTGCTTTCTTCCACGAGATGCTACGCGTGCATTGTCCCTTACGCAGCGTGCTGCCTTATTAGGGAATCGACCAGGTGGTCCGGGTACAATTGAATAGTGACTTTTTCGGAAAATATTTATGTCATCCCTTGGAGAAGGCGTTACGCATATGTCACAAGCACAACCATTTTCTCATTCGATCTCTTCGGAATGATGTCGCCAACACGACTTCGGAAATTTGAAAATTTTAATTGAAAAGAGCTTGAGGGTATTCGCATATGCAATAATCACCGCTTTAAAGTTTGGTTCGAATAATGATGATGAGTAATTGACGGTAATTCTGTAATTCAGAGTCAAATATTTGTGCATAGGTTGGCGTCACACAAAGTTTTCCATCACAATCGCGATAGAATAATCCTCTTTTTTGAAAGAGGGCGAACTTAAAATAGCAGTTCGTGACCAATGAAATCGTAGGAGGTCAGAATGAGGTATGTATGTATGTATGTATGTATGTATGTGTGTGTGTATGTGTGTGTGTGTGTGTGTGTGTGAAAGAATTCGACTTTGACAACCTCGTTTATGTCAAACTTTTTTTGTGTGTCCGTTTCCTTCAATTTATATTACACCAAGGGCGGTTAATAGTTTGACCGATTGGGGAACATTATCCATCCATGTGACATTAATTTAACTCTTCTGGGTAACCTTGCACGCTTTTACGATTATTTATTACTTCCTTCACGAGTTCGTTTAACTTCTACACCACTTTGGTGTACATAGGGTAAAGCAACCTCAGACAGATACTTGAAGAACATCGCACAAGCTTGACTGACACAAAGTGCTAAAATTGAATGGTCTTACCGTGTTTCCTTCGGGTTGCCATGAGACTGACTATGCTTCCCACCCCCCAGAAATGATGAATGTTGATAAGGGATTCACGGATGTTTTACCGAAAACGCAATTAATTCCGAATGCGTGCGTACAATACCAATGATTTTTGTGTGACTGACGTAAATGGAAAGGCCGAAATTCCCGAATAATAAAACTCTTGGCCATTTCACCGGGTTGCCATGACACTTCACTTCCGACGCACACCAATGACGTCCCAGCTGTGTCATCACCGTTGCCCAAACTCACCCGTCACCCCGATGATTCGAAGAAGGCTTGGACGTTTCTCTTTAACAAGTTGAACTTTACGCATATTTCTGGGCTTAGAACGTTTCCTTCGAGCTTTTCACGTCAAGCGTCGACTTGCTATCCGGTGGGTGCTCCATTGGAAAAAAACCGGTATTTAAACTTCTGCGCCCATCTTGCCGATCTTTTTGTGACTGCGGCGGTACTCGTTTGAATCAAGCTTCCGCGAACAAGCGTCATGGTGCTCCACGTGATAATATCATTCTTACGCGCATACAAGCGCACAGTTTCCACATTGAGCCACTTCTGCTTCGATGAAATTTCATGGATGGTAGCAAGTAAACCTTTTGCTTGACCAATTTCTCCGACTTCTGAAATCCCCGTTCTGATACATCGTTACACACCGAAATCCAAAATGAGATCTCTTTATTGTTTCATCATCATCATCGTGGACTGTAGGAATTTATCTCGACGTTATTTAAATAATTTCCGATTAGGCATAAATTGATTTTTAAGGTGACCTCCGCGCGCGCGCTCTAAAAAACTTAGGAACTTTTTTTTCCAAACCGGTTTTCATGCATCAATCGTGTAACGTACTTCTTTCCACCAGAAACCCACCGTTACGGTATGATACTCACCCCACCCCACAAATTTTATTTATTTACGTTCCTGTAAACTATACATCACATCCCTTCAACTGTACAGTATAACCTTCCATAAAGAGTTTGGTCTCAGCATAGGAGGTAAAAAAAAAAAAAAAATTCGAAAAAAAAAAAAAAAATTAGCTAAGAATCATAACAAAGAAGACCTTATCACCTAACAGGTACACAATTATTGCTCTTCCCAGTTTGGAAAGTATTCTTTTTTTTTTTTTTTTTTAAATGTGAAAAAAAAATTTTTTTTTGGATAAAAACCCAATTATCCCACGTTTCCCCTCCCTTCATCCTCCTTTGCTGCACACCAACTTGTAAAAAAAAAATAAATAAATAAAATTTTTTTCTTTTTTTTTGCACATCTTCGTCATTTTTCAACAACCCAATATCACGGTTACCACCCAATATAAAAAAAGCTTTTGTCTATTCATACGACTCTAAAAAGGTGAATAAAAAAAATTTTTTTTTTTTTTTTATATTTATTTTATTTATTACTTTTACTGGTTTCTTTTTGTGAGACAAGTTTATGCTTTTTCATAAAGAAAAAAAAAAAATCCGGCTTTTGCATTATAAAAACCGCTAAAGAATCGATTCTTTACAGTTAACTCCTGTATAACTAACTATCCTCTCTCTCAGCGCATACACAGAAAACACCCCGAATCAACAAATAATTTCCTTTTCTTTATTTTCAACTTGATTAATTGCATTGTGTATAAATACATCAAGTTTTTTAACTTTGGTGAGTTCTGCTACTTGAACCCGAGTTTGCAAGTTGTTGTGTCGTCGACTTGGACATTTTGAAATATATAAAATTCACACAAGGTAAATTAAAGGCACATGGGAACAAAAAATTTCATCCATTCTCACATCGAAGAGGATTGATTCTTAGCCTCTTGTTCATCGTCGTTATCACTGTAATTCGTTTTTTCTTTTTCTTCCTTTTTTTTTTTTTTTAATATAAACGGTCCGTCAAGATACCTGTTCCCTCCCTTCCCTCCCCCGTTACCTCTCAATTTTCTCCTTCGCACGAAAAGTTAATCAGTCAGATAAATAAATATATAATTAATTAATTAATTAATTAAACAAATCTTCATTTTTTTACTTATAAACGTCTCTCTCTCCTCTCTCTCTCTCTCTCTCTCTCTCTCTTACTCACCTCAGTAATAAATTTTCTATTTTTTTTTCCATTATGACAACACCTACCGCTCAATTCCATTTGCCGTCTTTTGATTCCACCTACAATTTCTCTGCGATCCATCATCAATTCAATCAACAAAAGTTTCAACCACCACCACCACCACAATACAATTTAACATCAGCAGTTCCATCTCATCAACAAGAAGCGGCTGTCACGGCTGCCGCACTCGCTTACGTTCAAGCTTACAACAGTCCCCCACGAGATATCTTTGTACAATCCCCCCAACAGCAACATCATCACCATCACCCAATTGAGTCCTCTGATTTATTCACGACATACCCTTCACCCGGAGAATCCTCGATAATGACTGAATCACCGACTCATTCGCCGCCCACCTTTAACACCACCACCACCGGTGAGCACAAACCCGTGATTAACGGCGACGGTGGATACCAAACGAACTCACCGTATGTATCAGGAAAACATCCGTTCTACAAAGGCAGGAGATCGATCACCCATCAGGAAGTTGAATGTGATGAGAATAATACCCTTCCAGGGGATCGATCTCAAATCCTGTCTGTGATTCCTACCACTCCTGCCAATTCTTTACACCATTTTACTCACCTTCATCGCCTCAATTCGGTCAGGTACCCCACGGCTCCCTATACCACCACCGCCACCTCCACACCGCCTTCATCATACATTCCTTCCAATGGTATGCACATGGATCGACGATCAAGCCTTGGTGCCGGTGTACCAGTGTTGCCAATTCTCCATCAACCTTTCACCTCCCACGACACCAAGGTTCACGGTTTGCCTCATCAGGATCTATCGACTGCCAACGGCTCAGCCGAGCAACAGTGGAACAATGGTAGCTCACCGTTTTCTTTCGGTTCCTACGCAAAGCCGCCTAAAGGATTTGATGAGAAAGCAATAGATCCCTCATTCTTCACCGATCCGTCGATGGTCAAACCATCCAGTTCGGGTGCCACCGCTTCAATAAGTTATTATGGTCAAAATCCAATGTACGATCGGAACGTGATGCCTCAACATCCGGGCGGTTTTCCCACTCCACAAGATTATCCGTTGATTGCCGGTCGATTCGCTGCCAACGGCACCATAACCGCGATGTCTGCCGCAAATGGTAATGGCACGCCAAAACAATCACAAAATCAATCAAGACCTCCACCGGTTCCTGCACCACAGGCAATGATGACAACCTTTAGTTCAAAGACCGTCTCATCCACACCAAAGAGGTACAAGTGCAATGTATGTCAAAAGAGGTTCACGAGACCGAGTTCGTTACAAACTCATATGTACAGTCACACTGGGGAGAAACGTAGGTTTTATTTTGTGTTCATCTCCGCTCACGGATCATGTGTTGCGTCATTCGCTATCTTCCGCAAAATTTTCAATCTGACTAATCCATTTTCTCCTTTTTTCATGATTTTCTTTCCCTTGTGATTCGTTACACCGTCTTTGTGCATCATCGTATAATTCCCATTTTCGCTCTCCCTTTGTTATACCCATCGCTGACGCCATCATCTTGTTTGTTGTGCCCCCTTTAACCGCCAATACCTCATGACCTCCATTCGGTATCTCTTTTTTTTTATGATCAATCGATTTTAGCATTCAAATGCCCAGTCGAAGGATGTGGTCGGCATTTCTCGGTTGTCAGCAACCTTCGCCGTCATCAAAAGATTCACGCGAACAACACAAACAGCACCGCTTCATCTTAAACATACATATCTTTCAGTCAGTTTTATTTACACCGAAAAAAGAAAATGATGTCGCCAAAAAAAAAAAAGAAAAAAAAAATGTATATATATGCAACACATATATATATCTCATCGCAGTTTTGTAGCAACGAACAATGACATCTTGCATTTTTTTTTTTTGTTTTTTTTTTTTTTTTCTTTAAGAAAAAAAAAAAAAAAGTTAGCATCATTTTACCCTCATAGCATAGTTTAAAAAAAATGGAATGAAGAATTTTTTTTTTTTTTCTTCATTCTCTGCGCGACTGTGATCCGGAGTGTCGGTATCACGAAACCGGTGAACAGTTCGTTTTTTCGATTCATCTGTGGTTTGCTTAAATCACCCGATTTTTTTTTTTCTTTTTTTTTTTATTACAAACCTTCACTTTGTAAATGTTAATTTTTTTTTTTATTTGAAAAAAAAAAAAAAAAGGAAAAGCAGTTGATTATTTCTCTTTCCCGCCGTTTTCGTGTCATTATATATATACTTATCGTATACTCGTTTCATATTATATCTCTCTCAATGCACGTCATAATTGATAAATAACACCTTGGAATTATATCCTATAAAAAAAAAAAACAAAAGCGAAGAAATCACGTTACTACATTTGACATGTAATAATCAATTCGAAGCAAAAAAAGCTGTAAATTTTGTTTTTCTCTCTCATGTACCTGTATATTGACTTTTTCTCGTTGAATAGAAAATTTCTTTTCATCATTTAATTTATCATCCAATTTTTTTTTTAAAAAAAAAGAATATATATTTTTTATCATTTACTTTCCGAAAAAAAAAAAGTCGATTGCGGTTTCCTGATTTCGCCTCGAATGACATTGTTGAAAAGAAAAACCCGAGAGGTGAGAAAAAATAAATCTCAAAATCTTGGTGCGCCAAGAATTTGATGCGGTGTCCCTTCTTGAATTTTTCTTAAGGTAATTCTGCCACCGCAATTTTTTTGTGGGCACGTACCGTATGTGTTGCCCATCCTGTTTGTGACGCCCTTATATATAAATGATTAAAAATGGCTTTTCTTGCCCACTTGGGCGAGTCGGATCTTCGTATATCAAAAATGGATACGCGTTCAAAAATAATTTCATGTTTTTTTTTTTTTTGACAAATAAATAAAGATGCATGCATGCAGGTGCAGGTGGTTTGGATTTTCCGTTCGTCAGATCTAAAGATTTAAAACCAGATCCAATGTGTTATTTCTTGTTTGTCAATCAATTGTCGGTATGTTTACAAGCAAACGGTCCATTCGATCATCATCAATTATTGCTCTTTCCAAATTCAATTGCCGTTTGTTGACGCTCACCAGTCTGCTTGCTGACATCACCGGGCGGCTGTTTGCGTTATCGATTCTGGAGAAGAACTTTATTCTGGATGATCAGGCTTGACCACGCGCTTAAGGATTTCCTCAGGGCTTTGCTTGACCGAGCCTGACGTCGCACAAAGTGCATGGTGTGAAAATCCGTTTTTTTTCTTTTTTTTTTTTTTAAATGGCCATGATCGCTTATAACAATGTGACATACGTATAATTGGGATAATCGATAATTCGTGTTTTTCCTTTTAATCACGTTTTGACGATTTTCTCTACATGAATTGCAGAATTGAACATGCAAAAATTGATTTTATCACACAGTCTCACACAGTCTCGCTGCGTCTCGTACATCGAATCCGATAAGGAACATCACAAGTTTTACGGAAAATTCAAGTGTCAAATTTACAGATCAAAAAAGCGTCTCGATGTTACATGGATTAGAGTGCAAGCGACAATGATGACTCGCGAGATTATGTGTAATATTAATTATTATTTTTTTTTTTACAGTCTCATCCCCGAGAATTTGCTCGAAGCATGAGATTGTCAAGAATAAGAGAAGAGTGGTTTTGTTGAATAACTATTCTTTGAAACCGAAATATCATCAAACATCAAATGAGTAGTGTAAATGATTGAATTGAATAGATTCAGGAATTCCTCTGGTCTTTTGCTGGATTGCCAGGAGAGCAAAAAATCATACGTTCATCACTCCATCATGTAAATCTCTGATGACTGAACTCGGTCCGACGTAAGAACTGGAATCTAATATATAAATTCGAAAAAAAGTATATATATCATTAATCTCGCTCTTACCATGACAACACACCAGAGACATAATTTGTGACCCACCTGTTGAATGACAATTTTTAAATGTCAAAGTCGTCGTCGACGTTATCTCGTAAAGACAGTCGGATTCGTTTGACCTCCTTAACCTCCTGTGGATAAGTATAGTTTATGGGTTTCTTATTTTTCTTCTTTTTCATATTATCTCCCATCTTTTTGAAACCAGATGACTTATAATCATCTGAACTTGAAGATGAGTCTTCGGCCTTGCTATTGGCCTAACCTCCAACCAAATTTGAAAATTCTGATATATTGACAAGAAGCGAAAAACTACTGACGTACATTGCAAAATCAAATTAATCGAAATCGCTATACCGTACCCTTTCCGACGTTGTACTAGAAAAATTTTGGAAACAATGTTAACTTCGTGAGTCACCGGGCGCAAAGAACTAGGATCGGTGTTAGATAGTTAACCTTGATCTTGAGAATAAGCGATCCTCATAGTTCACCTCCGACTTTTTCTTTTTATCGTTCGTGGCTCTCAGGTAACCATCGAACCCACGAATTAAATTTCCTCCGGAATTCGTTTCCTCCAAATATGATCCTTCAAATTGCCAGATCTGTTTCTCTATGGCTTTCTGAAAGGTGTGGCAGTTTAGAAAACGGGAATCGCTGGTAATACCCCTCTCACAAACTTACTAGACTTTTGTCGAGTTGCTTTTTGCGAATTAGCAGTTCCCGAAGTTCCGCCTCCGTTTCCTCAAGTTTTTGTCTAGTGACAGTTGGTGACTATACAGAAGATTAGTCGTCGTTATAATACTTGGAAGAGTCATCTGAAATAAATGGATAGCCAACGTTTACTACGGGCGTTTCTTCTTTTTTGATCGACATCTCTGGTTTCAGGAATAACTGAATAGTTATGAAGGGTGGAATGGGAAAATATAACCAATGGATTTTGATTTCTCACACGTGATTAATCGTGGATCATTAATTTATACTGTAATATTTATTATTCAAATTTTGATTTTTCAAAAATATTATTAGTAAAAAACCAATTGTTTTTTTAAAAAAATAAATATTTATTTATTTATTTATTTAAAATATTAATTATTTTTATATAATTTTTTGTTTAATATAGATATCAATTTTAATAATATAGATATCAATTTTAATAATATAAATTTATTTTTAAATAATTTCATAGATTAAAAGTTAATTTTCAATTTTTTATTTTTAATTAAACTATACTTTAAGATTTTTATTAATCTTTGATTTAAATATATTGTTAAAGGTAAAAATAGTAATACAAAAAGATAGATAAATAAGGAAAAGATAATTAGATCTATTTGATATAA